TTAAGAATATTAATTATTTTTCTAGAATTTATTTATATATTTTTTCACTTTTTAAATTTACAAACAATATATAACGTTTCCGTGTTCGTCTAAGCGCATATTTATCTAATGTCATATAAGAATGACTCATTCTTCCACTCGATTATCTCCGTCGATAACCTCTGCTGATAAACCTTTCCTCCGATCATTAAAATTTGAACCCTTTCAGAACTGTTTTTTATATTTTATTTATTTATTTTTTAGGGGCTGTTGTGGTAGTCAAATAATGATGACAAACAAAAAATAAAACAATATTCATACTAATGAAACAATTTTATTACAGTAAATATTTAGAATTATTTACTCTTTCCGAGGATTTTAACATATTTTTTAAATTCATCCATCAACTTACATTATTATAAACATTGTTGTTCTTTTTCGGGGGAAATTGTCACCATAATAACCGTATGATATTAAAATTACGATGGTGATATTTTAGTTTAGTTAAATTCTAAAAACGATTATTTTAATTAAGCGTGAATTTTAATTTATTGTTTTTAATATTTACTGTTAGATATAATTATTAATATTTAAATATTTTTAGAATTCTTAATACGTTTGCATTCCTAGAGCTGTTATTTGGCAATATTTTTGCTTAGTCATCGGTAAAACCGACAAAGTGAGCATTTATTTCTTTGTTTTTCTCTTGAACTTAAGAGGAAGAAAAAAAAAAAAAAAAAAAGATTTTTCTTTACGTCCAAAGGAGCGTTTTTTTAACGTTTTGTGTGTTACCTTTATTTATTAAATATCATGTTCTTCGGTTTTAAACCATAAAATTCAATTCAACAGCAATATCACAAAATATTTAAAAGAGCATATCTTTAGAATTTCTGATACACGATCTCGCGTGCTGGAGATAATTCCCCCCCCCCGGTACACTGTTGCCATTGCTCGCTTTGAAATCGTCCAGTTTCTTAATCAAAAACGCATAAATGCTGTACAAAATATGAAATAGATAATAGAACAAATTCAAAATTTGGGCTTCTAGATGTCCATATTCGGGTGGAGACGTACGTTATTCAAAATTGGATGACTCTATGTACCGTTGTTTTATCACAGTGCGAGAAACATACATACATTTATGCAGATTCTTTATTAATTAATTTCTTTAAATATAATACTGGGCTCTAATATTTGGTGGCAACAATTTAAAAAGTGATTCGCAGTTTATAGTGAATCAACGCAAATTGCCGAAACGAAATTAAAAGCCCTTCAAAATTTAGAACTTGCCGAGTTTGTTTATGTTGGTGTGCATAGGCAAAAATTTAAGTCTTTAGGCTTCGGCAAAATGGTGCAATGAGGAACATAGCGTAGTTGCGCAACGTCATTAAAGAGATTGGTATTTAAGCGAATTTATGTGGCGCCGAGTTTACAAAGATGATTATTTATCTATTTACTGTTTTCAATGCCGTTAGAGATTTTTGGCCAACGGAATATGGTGCATGTTTTATTGCTTTTGTTTATCATATAATCTTAGAGTTCATAACATGTTAAATTTATTATGTGCTATATCCATTCTGTTTGTTGCTCATCTAATTAAATAAGAAGTTTCTCCAAACGTTGGCCAGCATTATTGTCGCAAGTAGGAGAAAAATTTCGCCATCTTTCGCAGTCGACAGCCTTATACGTGAGCATAATTTAATTTAATTTATTAAAGATTTTTGATTACTTAATATATTATTTAATTTTATTACTAATATTTTATTTGTATAATTTTAATTACTTTTCCTGATTACCTTTCATAGGGCTCCTGCGCATTTAATTTTAGAAATTAAGCCCTGGCTATCCGAAAAAGAATTGCACAACTTTTTTATTGACTTTATATAATATTGCTTGTTTAAAAAGGCTTTAGTTAGTAAAGTTTAGTCTTTATTAACAAATGAGTAAGCTTAGATTGCTTTTCTACGAAATTCATCTGCATTATTTGAGAAATCTACGCTTAAAAAACATGAATATCAAGTGGGAAGGAGAGAAATTGTAAATAGAAAAGGCAAAGTATTCGAAAAAAAAGTGTGAATTTTATATATGAATAATGTGAAGACAATAATGAAGGAGTTACTGACGTGAAACAACAAACACCCATTCAGTCATTAGCATCTGTTTATTTCGGTAAAACATTTTAGTCAGATTTTTTTTTTTTTTTTTTTTTTTTTTAAAGATTAAAGTAAATTAGAATAATTTTTTTTCACTTTAAACTATAGCTGTTATTTTTTATTCTCACCTAAGTAGTAAATGCTGTTTCTACAGTAAATGCAGCTTAATGTAATCGCGGTTAATGCTATCATTCGGATATTGCTATCAAATTGCCGAAGTCCCGCTCGTTTGTATACGAAAACATGGAAAATACGTCGCTTATTGAGATCAACTATTCGGTTAATAGGATCAAAATAGTATAAAAAAATGAAATCCGAAAGCCTTCAGATTTTATATTAAGTCCAAAGGGGCATTTTTTTCACTGGGGATTCAAAACGGGATTTGAAAAGTGATACAGACACTCAAAGTCATTCGACGAAAAATATCGTTAGACATTGTAACCTCTTTGCATTGCTATGCTATCAACGTAATACCAGTAAGAAATGTAAATAAATATCGAGAATAAAAAAAATATCCGTGCTTGAAAATGCACACGATGTTAAAGTTAATGGAACGCGTTGAAATCGTTGAGTTTGTCAATCGAAAATTCTTTAAAGTGTTAAAAAAATAAGAAATAGATAATAAAACAAATTCCAAACTTGGATTTCCAGATGTTCATATTCGCGTGGAACACTACGTTATTCAAAATTTGATATCTGTAGTACCGTTGTTTTTTCACAATGCGGAAAACATACATACATTCATGTAGATTCTTCCATTATTTAATTTGTTTAAATATAAATCAGGGCTCTAATATTTGGTGACAATAATTTGAAAAGTGATTCAGACTTTTATAGTGAACCAACACAAAATGCCAAAATGAAATTAATAGCCTTTCTGGGCTAATAACCCATTCTGGACCGATTTGGGCTAATAAATTTTTTAAGCTGAAATAAATTCGCCAAATGAGTTTCAAATGCGCTATAAAAGTTTTCAAGTTACAGAGAAATGTCACCAAATAAGCAATGTCCTCCGAGTATTAAAATCAGAGGTACAACATCGGTGAAATAATTTCCAGAAATGTTATGAACAGTTCATAAGCAAGCTTTTATATTTTCCTAATTAAAATGCTATGAAAGTGCTTATTTACATATTTCTAGTTATATTTATATTAAATGACTTAAATGCCATTGCTATTTTGAAGAATACTATTTTTTTATCGTTTAATGTTATCATGGAGTTATTGTTATCAAAACAGCGGTGGTCAAACGGAATCATTAAAATAAATAAATAAATAAATAAACGTCTCCTACTGTAGAGTAGCGTTTAGCCCTAACATGGGTTATACTTCACGCATGCACAATGACAAGCTCCATTATACAGAATTGGCGATGTATCATGAGATTGGCAACTAAAGACCTGCTATTCTACTAAATTTTGTCACTTTGCAGAAGTTAAACCTGAATAAAGCTTGAAGCGTTGAAGAATCTGTTTCTGATTTCTTATATTTATCTTGATTAGTATGGAAGGTAATTTTCTGTGTTTGGAATGTTCGAAGACCTATTTTGCATTACTACTAAGGTAAGGAGCCCACCAGAGGCCGAGCGATAAAGACGCTGAACACTGGTAGTTCGGTCCGAGGTTCGAATCCCGCGAACGGGCTGGCTGAATGGGCGTTTTCGTGGTTTTCCCCATGTGTAACGTGGATACGAGCCAGTTTCCCTTAGAAAGTCCTCCACGAAGGCATCCCTCCCCTTAGGCAGATAGCCCTCGTGTGCTTTGCCATAATTAAATAATCCAATCCACTATGGTAAGATAATGTAATCAAGAATACGAAAAGAAAGGACCAAAGTATGTTATTTTGCTGAATGCCTGTTAAAAGATGAACTGTTATGATAACTGCATATATGAAATAAAAAAACTAATTTGTAAAATGAGGTTAAATCAGTTGATTATGTTAAGCTCTCAAGAATTATTTGCCTAGGATTAGACATGCCTTTGTGGAAAGCGTGGATTTTAAATGAAATTTTATGATAACAGTAAACATAAGATGAAATATCAAACAAAAATACATTTGCAAATAAATACAAAATAATCCTAGGGCATTAATTTAAGCAGTTTATAAACAACAACACAAGTGTAAAAGGAATAACGGCTGTTTAGTCATATGCTTTTCTAAAGCCCCAGTAACAAAGCCGTAGCTAGGGTTTTCAGCGCCCGGGGCCAGCCGAAGATTTTGCGCCCCCTTCTATGTGCCAAGAATAGGAAATATTTCATTCTAAAATGTCATAATATCAAACTGGCACCCCTTAGATACTGCGCCCGGGGACAGATGTCCCCCTTTGCCCCACCCTAGCTACGCCCCTGCCCAGTAAATAATTACTCGCATAATTGGGCACAAAGTGAACAAATTTCACACATTCCGCCGAACTTCACCTACGCATCGCTGAAGCTGAATTGTGAATTCATCGCCGAGCTAAACCTACATGCTCTTTGGCCAAGCGACGAAGGTTACCATGCTGAAAATACGTCTACTGCGCATGCGTGAACCATAAACCGTGCTAGAGCTAGACGCTACTCTGAGCAAATGACGACTTCTGTTTCGTCATTTGCACTCTGCAGATGAAGAAGTAGGTTCTATGTTTAAACTGCAAGTCTTGCAAATTTATGAATATTGTTCTGATTTTTGTGGCCTTAGCAACTCCAGTAGCTTCAGGGCTATGTCAAAACTCTTATGTATGTCATTTGATTATGATTTTATCAGATAATTCATCAGGTTCATACCATTAATTTCAATTTTTAATAAGAATTTAGTAACAATTAAATTAGTTCTTAACTTCATGTCCATGTATTGACAGTTTCTCACATAAGTATCAGTAAAGTAGGCAACAGTTTCTCACATAAGTATCAGTAAAGTAGTAAAGTAGGCAAATGCTGAAAGAAAAGGCCAGTAAACTGTGAAAGAGAAAGCATCGGAATTGAATTTCAAGAAAGATGTTATAAAGCGTCTTTGTATTCAGTGTCTTCCTCTAATCTTCTTCAGTGCTGCCGTAACGACGCAGAGGTCTCCTTTCAGCTCGCTGACCAGATTGGCGATCTTCCGAGTGTTGCTCAAGATTTCCACTGTTTGGGTGTAAGGATTGTATCGCAGACCGAAGGGTCTCTTGATGGTGCTTGCAAATTCCCTGTCATAAGAAATAATGTCATTAAATTATATATGAAAGGGTGGGGAAGAAGAAAAAAGAAGGGAAAAATTCTGAAAGTTTTCAGATTTTATGTCACGACAAAGGGGACTTTTTTTTCTTTTAACGTTTTGTGAGTTATCTTTTTACTTCCTTGTACGAAGTAAAAAGGAAGTATTGTAATCGTGAAAAGTCTCAGGCAGCATATTTCAACGAAAATATCCATTTTGACCGCCATCGAATGCAATTGAACGATGTTTTTGCGTGATATCTGTACGTAAGGACAGAATAAAAAACTCTTTTTCCTCCCAAAAAAATTATAAAACTGCTTTAAAATGAATTCTGAAGAGAATTTTTCGTGGCGTCTGTACGAACGTATGTACGTACGTACGTGTCTCGCATAACGCAAAAACGAGTACCATCAGAACGTTGAAATTTTGTATATAGGACTGCTATAACATGTAGATGTGCACCTCGTATTTTGGTTGCAATCGGCCGCACCAAACTTATATAAATATATTTATATATATATCCACTCTGTTACCCGGCTCAGGTATCTCAGTTTCGTTAGTCTGATATGTTTGTAAATTGTACATTTTTTTCTTTAAAAATGATTGAATTATGTTGTTCTTATCTTCTCGTTAAGGTTTTTATGCCTTTAGTAAATCTGTATGCTATATTTTTAGAATTATGAACAATTTTAAAGTTGTTTAAGTGCCGCTAAGCCTAATAATTTTTTTGATGGCGGCCATTGCTTGTTTACATTTGAAACAGGAGACTAGTGGATTTGTTGCCAATCTAGAGAAACTTAGCTTCGCAACAACAAAGATAACGCTTTCATTTATTATTGCGAATTAAATCATGCTTAATCCTTTCTGGAATTTTTTCCAGGAAATAAGCGTTTAAGATTTACTTCGTAATTTTTAATACAGATATTTTGAGTTTATATGTATTTTTGCCTTGTCGCGATGTGAGAACTGAATGAATTGAATAAGAAATACTCAATTTTTGTTTTGTTTGCTTAATTTCTTTTACGCATCGTTCTAGCTTTATTATAGTATTTGAATAGAACATGTGGCAACGATTAAATAATTATATTCTTTAAATGATATAACTTTTTTGCATTCTGAGCAATAATATGAACGAAATATAATACTGTTAAGTGAACCTAACGCCAGAGTAACGCTATGGTAAACAAATAGAGTGAATTTTAAAGAATGTATTTATTCTATTGTGGTTTATGCGCTGTCGGCGAAGTAGATTTAATTGAATCCAGTAAGTTTAAACGAAATGCAAGAAAAAATGCGTATAATTTAATATTCCGTACAAGGAAGTCATGTGGTGTACACATCAGATTTTTTTAATTAAATGTCACGTTCTTCGCACTTAAACCATAAAGTTCAATTCAACTGCAGTATCGCAAAATAATTTAAAAACAGCACACCTTTAGAATTCCCGACTCATCGTCTCGCTTGCTCGAGATTAATTTTTTTTTTTTTTTTTCTATTCCGTACAATGTTGCCATCGCTCGCTTTAAAATCGTTGAGTTTCTAAATCAAAAATTCATTAAAGTTTTAGAAAATATGAAATAGATAATAAAACAAATTCCAAATTTGGGCTTCCAGATGCCCATATTCGGGTCGAGGATTACGTTATTCAAAAATTTGATGGTTCTAGGCGCCGTTGCTAGCAACATGTAAACATTTATCCAGATTCTTCATTATCTAATTTCTTTAAATATAATGCAGGTCTCTAACATTTGGTGGCAACAATTTGAAAAGTGATACGCCGATAATAGCGATTCGACGCAAAATATCAAAAGGAAATTAATAGCCCTTCTGGGCTAACGCTGTTTGGGTTAAAAATTGAATTGCATGAGACCAATCACACCATATATAAATTCATAAAAAATAATTTTAACCGAACGTATTCTTAAAATTTGGCGGCACACTAAAGTAACGCGGCACAGTGGTTAAGAATCCTTGATATAGTGTCCGTGCGATAAGGGGGCACTCAAAATACATCGCAAGCCGAAAGTCCTCTCGAGAGGTTGTGGTAGGGAAAGATACATTCTAAACGCCCAAGATATTCTCTATCAAAATTGGGACGGAATGGCACATTTAATGAGGCGGAATTATACCTGTACGACCAATGATGAAATTCTTGCGTTCCGATGACTTACTGTATCTATTATTGTAATTATTGTACTCGACTGCCCATCAGCTGTTTCCAAATTCCATGATTCTTTTAAAAGTTAAGCAAAAATAATAATTAAAAAACACTAATTTAGTTTTTAACTTTTGAAAGGTGGCAGTTTACGAATAGTAATTAATTTACCTCATTTTCTCTTTGGCTTCTTCAAAACTGTCAGTGTAGAAGTAAAGATCTTGAAATGTTGTAATTAAAGGTATTTGTTGACAGGTTCTTTCGGGCTCAAATGGCAACACTTCTGCAGCAGGCGACAGTGCATGCTAAATAAAATTTAAAAAAAAAAAAAAAAAGAGAGAGAGAGAGAGAGAGAAATATTTGAGAGATTTTACTAATAACGTCAAATAAATTAGCATACAATTAAACGTCAGTTAATGTGATCGCGGTTAATGTTATCATTCGGTTATTGTTATCGGATTACCAAAGTCTCGCCTATTTATATACAAAAACATGGAAAATACACCGCTTACCGTGATTAACAATTCGATTAGTATGATCAAAGTATTGTTGGAAATTACAAGACCTGTTCAATTAAATTCAAAATAGATTATAAAAATTTGCCAAATGAAATGTCCATAATGGATAGAGTAAAGGATGAAGTCACCCAAAACCTCTTGGCTTCGATTTTAATCAACCATTTAAACTTGAGCACAAAAAGCAACTTTACTTGGTGTAGAACCTGAATAAATTTATCGATTTTTGTGGTTTTTTAGACACAGGTCTCTTTTCTTCAGAAGCTAAAAAATATTTGCAGAACCACCCTCTTTTCCTTGCTCTTGAAAAAAAAAAAAAAAAAGTCCACGAAAACATTTGCTAAGTTTGCTTGATTTGCATAATTTTACTTCCTTGTACGAATTAAAGGAAGTATTGTAATCGCGAAAATTTTCGGGTGTCAACGAAAATATCCATTTTGACAGTTATCCAATGCGATTTAACGATGCTTTTGCTCGACATCTGTACGGACAGAATAAAGGACTTTTTTCCCCAAAACGGGTTGCAAAAAGGATTTAAAATGGATTCCGAAATGACTTTTCGTGGCCCGTCTGTACGTACGTACATATGTATGTATCTCTCATAACTCAGAAACGAGTAGTCTCAGAAGGTTGAAATTTCGTATATAGGACTGCTATAACTTGTAGCTGTGCACCAACGGTTTTGGTTGCAATCGGCCGCACCAAAAGTATATATATATATATATATTGTTTCAAAAGAATAAATAGTAAAGTTAAATTTAAATAATTCTCTTGCGCCATTGCTGGAAGGAATGAAATTTGAATTTAACAAACATTCTCTATTCGTAAAAAGCAAATTAAAAGTTAATGAAATTTAATTCCAAAAAAATAAATGATTAATTATTGCTGCGAATCAATCTACAATATCATTTAAATTCTGAGAGCATATGTAAATCAAGGGCAAGTATCAAAATCCATGAACTAATATATAATTTCAAAAAAAATTTTTAGTCCTAAAAAATTATAAAAATGCATAAGTGAATTATTTTTGAGCAGGCAGGAGACAGATTTATCAAGGGAAAGTTGCCTCCAAATTTATCTCTTCATTTATTCAATTCGTGTTTCGTCATCCATGTAGGCAAGGGAAAAGTAAAATTCAAAACCAAAAGTAAAACCAAATGCCGTGAATTACTAAAAAGAAATTTAAACAAGTGAAATTTTGAGAAATTAGTAAGTAAACGACTAGAATTAAAATAAAAAAAAAGGTCAATTAAGAGAATAAAACCAAATTTTTTAGAAAACCAAAGTAATTTAGAAACCCTTGCCTACAGAAAACTTCCCCTACACGAATATGCATGTAAATAAAAAAGAAACTAGATACTATCTATAAAAAATACATAAATAATACTAAAACAATAAAACTAAAATAAAACTAAAAAGGCAAGTAAAGTTTTAATTTAATTTAACTAGTAAGTTTTAATTTAACTGTAAACCAATTATATTTGTATTTGGAGAGTGGAGCAGCATTTGCCAAACTAAGTGATGTTAAGTAGTGTGTTTATGCTAACTTTATAAATAGAGGGCGCTAATATAAAGTTAAGTTGAGTGTTAAGCTGCTATCTGTTGGATCTCTTTTATAAACCTATTTTGTAAATTTCTAAGTAATGTAAAATGTGTGTTCTGTTGCAAAAATGTTGCTAACTGTGAAGTATTGTAAAAATTTGTAAAAAATTGTAAAAATGCTAACGGTAACGTTATGTGAAAAAATGGTTGCAAACTATTAAGGATAGTAAAATATTAAGGATTGTAAAAAATCGAAAAGTGTTTTTGAAATACAGTACGAAAAAAATTGTTTGAAGTAAAATTTAAAAATTAATTTTAATTTTGAAAAATATTAAAGTGTTTTTAATAAAAGTAAGAAATTTATTTTAATAATCTTAATTAAAACTGAAATTCAACAAGTTTAATCAAAACTTTACTAAATACTGGCCAAAAGTAAGGAAAATTAGAAAAAGATAAAAATCTTCACTCAATTCGGGTTATAATTGAGACTTTTGAAAAGAGTTGGCCCTTCATTAGTGAAAGGAAAGAATCCAGTATTGTTTAGACATACATTTTTACAAATTAATATTTACAAGATAATCCCTTAACTCTTCAAAATCCTCCATTACCCTCCAGTTAAGGTTTAAGGTAATGTTATCGTATCATAAAGAGTCAAAAAATTATAAAGTCTTTTTCCATTAAATTTCTTAAAAGTTAATGCCTGCCTTTTTTAATATATAAATTAATAAATTGTGTTGGGACTTGGTTATTAACTTGAACATTAATTAGCTTTATTATTTCTTCCTTTATATCTTCTATTTCAGTAAATATATTTTTTATTCTGATTATTTGGCTATAAAAAGTGTTACCTGTTACTTTTCTAGAGAATTCCAATTAATTAGTTTAATAGTATTAAACTGGAAATCCCTCCTTTTATCATATAATTTAATTTTGCTGTATTTATTTATGAGCTGGTCTAGGTATTCAATAGTATCTTGGTTCGTATTAGTTTTATTAAGTGTTAAACTATTTGGGTAAATTTCGAATTGTTCAAAAGCAGAATTAATGAAAGTTATAATATGATCAATGTATCTAAATGTATTTGCAAATAACTTTAATTCATTCTTATTCAAACTAAGTTTATTAATATTATATTCATTATATTCATTAGCAAAACGAAATAGGTTACATATTTGTGTAGAACTTTTTTGCTCCCATTAGTATTTATTTTCACCTACTGAAAGATCTTATTATTGAATTTTAATGTAGTTATTATTAAATAATGCACAATGGAGGTACGTTTTCCATCTTTCAATTCAGAAGGATGCTTAGCATGCCAGGTAAAAGTTGTGGGAGTTGTATTAAACTAGTATAAATTATAGTACTAATGGTAGAGAAGTATAAAAGTTTTCAAAGTCATAGCAGTTAATATTCTTGATTTCTAAACTTTAAAAATTTTTTAGAACTGGAGCATTGTTATAAATAATCCAACTATAGTTGTGTTGCTTGTTAACTAGTTGACGAATTAAAATACAGATTTTTTAAAGTTTAATTGCAAATATGTAATCTATATTCTTTTTGTAATTATTTGTACCATTTACTGTAAATCTAAATTTGAGTGGTGATTTATGGAATTCAGGAAGAGCATATGGATTTGCTAATTTATTGTAGTTAGATGGTTGTGAAATTTGTAGTTTCTTATGAATTGCTTTTAGCTTTTTTGCAACGACATTTTCTTGTGTATTGGTAACTTTGTAAGTAATGGCATTATTCAGTTCAGTATTGATGATGATGTCGTGTCTATGACAAAGTGCAATTATATAGCTTCGAAGCAACCTTGGCAGCTCTGTCAGCATAAAGTAGGTTCACTAAGTCTTCAATGCCGCTGTTAAACAGTCTGGCCTGGATTGCTGGGCAGCTGAAGATGTGATGGCGAGACAGTGGGATGTCATCTGGGCAATGAGGACAAATGTTGGTGTAACTACGCTGTCCGTCTGCAGAAATCGTCATCCCTTTTAAGTGATTTGTCCTAAGTCTGGTTATGATAGTCGATATGGCTCTGTCACAGTTCAATTCCGGGATGGAGTTTCCTTTAACTTGACCGATTAGTTACCAACACATTAAAGAAATAGGAACACATTAAAGAATAAATTTTTGTCTCACTAATTAAAACCGATTAGTTTAGTATTAATTAGTGAGACAAAAATTTTCAAATAATGCTGAAAATTTTATTGGCTTTGTCAGTTTTGGTTATTATGAATTTTTGTTTCAAATCTTGCAACAGAGGATTGAGAAGATTCCATGGTAAATTGCTGTAAAATTCAATCCTTCGAATTCTTTGCTTCAATTCTTCTAACACTTCATGTTTCCAAGCTATAAAGGTAGAATTTGGAACATTTAATTTGTAACTAGTTTTAACTATGAACTCGCCTAGATTTTTAAAACATATGATTTTTGTCAATTTCTAGTACTGGTCTAAATTTGGTGCCTTTTTCCATTAAATTTCTTAAAAGTTGGTTTTGAACTATTGTTAAACTACCAGTAACAGTATGTTTATGAAATTTGTCTACGTAGTCATTGTATTGAAGCTCTTTGAATTATCAATGGGCTGTAGAAGCTAGATCATGGTGTTAATTAGCAATTTGCTAAGAAGTTTTTGATATTTGAAAGCTGGTGAGATTGTACTTTAGTAGCTGGAAATTGTTGTTGACATTTTCTGAAAATTTTGCTGAACTTAATATTGTCATAGTTTGGATGTAGGAAATCGATTTTTCAGTAATGTTCATTGTATTTGTTATTGGTAGATAATTTAAAATTGCAAAAATCTATAACTAGGTCTTTGATAATATTGTGTCCGGTAAAATGCTGTTTAACAAATTTTAAAAGTATCATTAAGAATTTGTGTTTACAAGTATGCAACCAAGTAATTATATTTTTGGTGAAATTTTCAGTAAGAAAGTAATTATTAATATTATCGTTTAACTTTACTGTATCTATTGTCGAAAAAAATTTATTTTTCTCTCTATGACCTGCTCTTGTTCCTCGTAATGTTTTTTTACTGAATAACGTAAAATGTCTGTGAGATGGAATTTCAGAATTTAATTTAATGTCTTGGTTGAATGTATTAAGTCCATATGGGTAAAGTGTTTTGAATTTAAGCATTTAGAGTGACTCTTGAAATAATCTTTCTTTGTATTCAGGCACAATGTCCAAAATTTGAATACTAATTTTGCTGAAATCATGTATTTGAAAATGTTCTAATTCTGCTG